GGCACCAGGCAATCATTCACCTCTGAGCGGCACCCCCAGATTTTTGCCCAGATTCCTTAGAGAATAGAACTAGAGGGAGCCCCAACTGGGCCGGTGGGGGGACCACCTGTGGGCCTCACTAGTCAGGCCAAGGATTCTCAACACAGCTGGGAGTGGCGGGGAGGGCTGCCCCCAGAGTAGGTGGGGCCATCTCTCTTTTCTGCCAGTCCCAGCGACTGCCAGTCCCAGCAGCGATGAGTGTCAGTCCTATTTGGGGACCAGTTGGTTGATACTCATTTTTCATCTCATAAAAGGGATTTATGCTTCAGGTTTGAGCTCTGTCTTGATTCACAGAGATGGAAGAGCCCTCCAGCCAGCGCAGTGCAGAGGAATCTACTTAGGGATCTGCAGGCCGGGTCCAGCTCCTGGCTGACGGCTGTTATTTGATTTGAGGAAAATGCCTTGGCCTCTGCTTTCCTTGATTTATTTATTTATTTATTAAACGTACAATTCAGTGAGCTTCTGTATGTTCACAAAATGTGAAATAGGCATGACCCCTTTCAGCAAGAAGCCCGGTGTCACCCGCCGCGCTGCCTGCCCTGACAAGTGCAGATCCAACGCCTGTCTGTGGATTTGCCTGTTCTAGGCAAGGCCTGTAGATGGGCTCGTGCAGTGTGTGGCTTTTGTTGCTTCTCGTTTGGGAGTTTCTGTTGTTGCTGCAGTCCTTGGGATTGAACCCAGGGCCTTTGCACTGAGCTACATCCCCAGCACTTTATTTGTTTTTCATTTTGAGACAGGGCCTCACTAAGTCATTCAGTTGCCCCTAGACTGGGCTTGAACTGTGATCCTCCTGCCTCAGCCTTTCAGAGTGCTGGTGTTACAGGTGTGCTACACCACTCCCAGCTCCAGATTCCTTAGTTCATTATTTGGTCATCCAGCTGTTCCAGCAACATTGGTTAAAAAGTCTGCTTTTTCTCCCATTGCATCATCTTTGACTCCTTGTCAAGAATCAAGCCAGGTGTGGGGATGCACACCTGTAACCCCAGCACTTGGAAGGCTGAGGCAGGAGGGTTGCAAATAAGAACCCTGTTTGGGCAGTTAGATCATAGATCAAAGTAGAAAGGGCTGGACACGTAGCTCATTGGTAGAGGACTCCTGGATTCAATGCTTAGTGCTGAAAAACCAAATGACAATATGTGGGAGTTTATTTCTGCATTTTCAGTTTTATCCCATCCATCTGGGTATGGATGTCTGTGCTAGCACTGGCCTGTCCTTATTACTGCAGCACTGCAGTAAGGAACGGTTTCCAGGAGGGTAAACAAGAAAGCATGTTCTTTGCTAGGCACAGAAGTCTAAGCCAGTGTAAGCCAGGTTTTCAAAGTATGATCCCTAGACCAGCGGTGCTAGCTTCTCCTGCAAACTTGTTAGAGATGCAGCCTCCCAGGAAATACGGACTTGCCGTGCCCTTGGACCCGGTCTAGCAACCAGTTTGCCAAGGCTCCAGGCCACCAGGGGAACACTCAATTTTGGGGCCTGTGGTGTTGGATTGACACCATCCAACATGATATCCACTACTTGAATTGCTGTGAGTCTGAATTGAGTTGTGCTTTAAGTACAGAGTGTACATTTCAAAGAATTATTGTGAAAAAGAGAGCAGGTTATCTCATGTACAATTTGGACTTGAGACTGTGAAGGGTGGTTGGAAAATTTAACCAAAGCCACTCAGGGTGTGTTTCATATCTTATGTTCGGGTCTCCCTGACCAAATTCCACAGACTGGGCAGCTTACACAACCAGAAAGATGGGTCTTTCATAGTTCCGAAAATCTAGGGCTGAGGTCCCTGAGGTCCCTATTCTGCAAAGGATTTGCTGCCTGCTCTGCTACCTTCTTGCTCTCCCCTTCCCTCCCCCAGCCTAGCCCTCTACATCTCTTCCAGATCAGAAATGGCCTGACTTTTCCCTTTCCCTCTTACAGTGAGGGGTGTTATGCCAAGTGACAGCTACAGCGGTTGTGCTGGAGGCCCACCCACTCTGGGAGAGGTTCACCCTGATTGCAGGGGCCTTGAACTTGAGCCAAGCAGCAGACTTGAATTTGGACCAATCTGCAAGCTGGGATCAGAAGGTTTACCTTTCTACCAATTTGGACCAATTGGCAGGCTTAAATTTCAACCAACCAGCAAGCTTGAATTTGGACCAATCACAGGCTCAACTCATCATTGACTAGAACCCCCCAAACTATGGATAAAATAAGCCTTTTCCCTGTGCAGACTGATGATCTCAGGTATTTGTTATAGTAACGCAAAGCTGACTAATGCATCTCCCCAAATACCTGTCTCTAAATAGACTTGGTTAGTGGTTAGTGGTTAGTGAGTCAACAAACATATGGAGAGGTGGGTGGGCCATAGCAGGACAGGGGACACCTGGCTTGCTCCTGACTTCCTGAAGCTTGCAAAGATAAAACAGTCCGGGGCCCATTGGAAAGTGCCTCTGAGTCATGCTGCCAGGATGAGCAGGACCACAGCTTATGTGTCTGGGGCAGTCACATGCATGGCATGCCTGAACCTAACAATCCAGTGTCCCTGGCCCTGACCCATTCACTGATTTGACGCAGGGTCCACCCATCCTGTGGGCTGGCAGATCACATAACCCCCAGCTTTCCCAAATCAGGCAACCCCTTGTTTCTTGCTTCTGTGGCTCAAAAGTTCTGCCATTTCCTCCAGCTATGACTCCACATTAGGAAGGACGAGTGGCTAGTAGTGAGACCGCCTCCATGAACCCTTCCAGCCACATTACTTGTGATCACCGATGAAGCCAGGTGATCAAACCCAATGAAGGCCCAGAGACAGCTGTTCTGTGCTTCCTCAGACATCCCGAGTCTTTGAGCTGGAGTCAGTCTTTTGTGCAAGATTCTTAGCAGAACACACATCCAGGTTTATTAAAGTGCTACACACACACATACATACATATATATATATATATATATATATATATATATATATATTTTAATTGTATTTCTTCTAGTGCCTGTGGAGACCCAGCACAGTTCCATCCTGACTTTAGTCACTTGTGGAGTAGTCTCTGTGACCCTCTTTACCGCTGGCTCATTTTGTTGGTGCTCACAGTACAGGCCTTGAGGACAGTGACTGTTTTGGCCCATGTGGACACCTGTGGCCTTGTGTAGGGGAGAAGTTTGCTTAATTTCTCTGGTAAGGTGTCAGCTACACAGTCACCAAACTGGTTACTTTTTCTTGGGTGCTCAGGAGTCTGTCTCTACCAGAGTCCTTTGCTCACGGGCAGGGTCATGTGGCTAATTCAATGATGTGGAAGGAAATGATGGGCTTGGCTCCTAAATGATGCTCCAGGGTCACTAGCAGGCTCTCTCTTCTCTTACTGGAACTAGGGGCAGTCTTGGAAGCCATGAGGGAAGATGTGGGGCTTACCCCTTAGATGTTGGCTGGCTCCCGTGTGAGCTGATCACCTTTCAGATTGACCTGCAACTTGGGTGAGAACTAGGGAGCACAGCAGAGCATAACCAACCCTGGCTGACACAATACCTGGACACCCTTATCCTGGCTGATTGATCCCATGGGGCTGAGTGTCTGAGCACCTGTCATTTGTCACTTTGCTGGTCCCCTTCAAGGATCTGCTACAATAAGCTCCAGAATGATCTTGGCTCTAAGACTCTGTGAGGAAAGAAGGCATAGTGCCCTCAGACGCCAGAACACTTCCTTTTTTAAATTTTTTGAGGCAGAGTCCCACCACGTTCTCTAGGCTGGGCTTGAACTCACTATGAAGCCAGGCTGGATTTGAACTTGCAGCAACCCTCCTGTCTCAGCCTCTGAGTCCTGGGATTACAGGTGTGGTCACCACCATACTGGGCTCCCTAACATGCTCTGCAGCAGCAGGGTGCTACTAACCCTCTCAGCCATTATTTCATTTGTTCCTCACTGCAGGGCCAGCTGGGAGACGCGCTTCCGGTGGTTTTGGTTTTGCCATCCTGCCCTCAGGGACAGGGAGGGACCCGAAGGGTCAGGAAGCTGGGGGTGGAGATCAGTGGCCCTGCCACGAGTGCACAGCAGCCTAATGTGTACCAGCTCTCTTGCTCACGGAGCTTTTTGTGGAGGAGGATTTGAAGGAGGGATTGGAGTTTCTCCCTAGAGACGCCGGAAAGATGGTTCTGTCTCCGCACAACAGGGGCGCTGGGCTCCACATGCGCGGCTGTTTCTGTGGTTACCTGTCTGTGGGGACCAGCGGGGCGGGTGGTCACGGCAGATGCCACAGCTGCGCAGGGCTTCGTAGGAGCCGCAGGACACGCCCAAAAGGCCACCAAGTCCCTTCCCCAGCCTGGGGACTGAAGGTCTTCACATATGTGGTAGGGAGGATGCAGAGAAGCCAGCCCCCTCCCCGCACCCACTGCATAGGAGGGGAAACTGAGACAAAGGGCTTTTAGGGAGCTGGCAGAGGTCACGAGAAGTGGAAGCTGGTCTCCCGCTGGGCCAGGCTTTCCCCCCCCCAGCACCCTCAAGGTGCCGAGCTGGGTGGTGGCTGCGTAAGGACAGAGGTTGAGGGGAAGTGGGCCTGCGGGTGGCCCAGCAGGATCCCTGAGTGCCTGGGGCGAAGCGGCCTCTTCCCCTTCCCGGGCCACCCGGTCTGAACTTCCTGCCAAGCCAGCCCCTCCCGGGCGCCGCCTCTCAGCCTCCCCTGCACTCGCAGGCCAGAGGCTAAAGGTTAGGGAGGTCGGGCCCGTGCTCGGTTCCGCCCCTGGGCCGACCCCCACACGGTACTAGAACCCGGCAGAGCCTCAGTAGCGCAAAGAGAGGACTGAATAGCAGCAGGTTGGAAAGGCGGTGGGCGCCCTAAGTCCACCAGGGGGCGTGGTCGAGACGGGGCGTGGTCAAAATCAGGGCGTGACCGTCTCGCGGCCCAATGGGTGTGACCGAGATGGGGGCGTGGCCGGGAGGGGGCGGCCCCGCAAGAACCTTGCGCCCCGCCCCCACCGCGCGCCCCGCCCCGGCCCCTCCTTCTAGTCCCTTCCTTCCCGGGCTGGCAGGCGACCGCGGCGGACGGTGGATCGGCGGGCCGGCGGCGCCCACACCGTGCTGGCTGCCCGGCAGCCGGCTTCCTTTTGTCTTTCCGGGCGGCGATGAGCGCAGCACCCGCAGGGAGGCTGCGGGCGCACGGACGCCCGAGCTCCTAGCCACCTCTCGGGCCTCTGGAAGGAACCGGCGGAATCGGCGGAGCGCGTCCTACCCCAGACCGGTACGCAAGGGCTGCAGGCTGGGCTCGGCTGGCGCGCGTGTCAGGGGCGTCCTGCCCAGCGCAGCGGGGCTGGCGCGTCCTCGTGGGGTCGGTGTGCGCGCCGTTGGGCTGCACATTTGGACTGCGTTTGTGCTGCGCTGCGGCGGGGGCCTGGCTGGCGGGAGCGGAGGGCGTAGCCGTGCGCAGAGCGGGGGCGGGGGCGGCGCGAGCCCCCAAGTCCCGGCCGCGAGGTGCAGTGCGGAGCTTGCTCCCGGGCTCAGTCCGTGAGACCCACGTGGGCCGGCGTCTGGTGATCGGCGCCTCCTCTGGGCCACGGGCAGGGACTGAACCGAGTCCCGGCCTCCTGCGCCCCTTACTGCGTCCCTAACCGGACGCGCCACACTCCAGGTATCTCCGGGTCTCGTATAGCTTCTCCGCTCCCGGGGACGCTGCCCCCTGGGGGCTGTGGCGACGATTGGGACAGGAGTGCGTGGAACTGCTCCTGGCACAGTATTTGGCACATAGTAGGTGCTGCGTGCGTTGGATTCTCTCTCTTTAGAATTATTTTTCTTTTATTGTGGGAGAGGCTCTCACTACCCACCCCACTACCACCCCCACGCCGTGCTCTGCGCCTTTCTCCCGGCCCCAACTTAGCACGAAGCTTGCAGGTTCGCCAAAGTTTCCACCGCCCTGCTTTCTCGGCTCCTCCGGGGCTGCGCGCTGGGCCGGGGATGCGCCAGAGCGCGCGCGGGGCGTCGGCCGTTTTCCACCGGAGGCTCCCGCTCCCGTGTTGGGGGTCCCTCTCCTGGCCAGAAGGCATTGACTGCAAGTCGGGATACCTTTGTTCAACAAGTGCCTGGTCCTCAGGGACCATGCCACAGTGCCCAAGCGCAGCTCCCGACAGGCAGGCACGGCCCTGGGGCTCCCGACTTGGTCACGGAAGGGCCACCCCGTTGTCGCTGAGCAGAGTGTTTGCCAGGACACAGAGCCCAGCTGCAGACCTGGGTATTGGGCGCTTCCATTACCACACCGATGCCTTGGCATCAGTCTGGTGCGGCAGCAAAGGTCAGCATGAGAGCTGCCCATCTAGTCTCACACCTTCGTTTACAAACATATTTCCTTTGGGGACTGACCACTGGTAGACCAGAACCCAAAGCCGTGCACGCTGCTCACAGCAGGAGTCCTGCGAGCTCACCTGGTTATCTGCTCAGCACCACAAGGCAGCTCGGACTTCCAGGCCTTGCTGAAGTCGTTCTTTCCCTCTATCGTGCTGATTCCTTCCCCCAGGACCCTTCCCAGTGACAGAGCGCAGACCTCGATGTGCTGGGGTTCTCAAAATGGAGCCTCCGAGTGGGGCCGCTGCCCAGACATAGGACGGAGTTCCAGTGAGCAGTACCTGACTCCAGGGTCTGGCCCTCTGACAGCCCACCGTGGATGTCAAGCTGATTGCATCCTGATTTGGTGTTGGGCTTATTTGGAATGTAGCCTGTATTCTATTTCTTTTCTTTCTTTCTTTCTTTTTTCTTTTTTTTTTTTTTTTTTTTTTTTTTTTTTTTTTTTTTTTTTGGCGGAACCTGGGATTGAACTCAGGCCCTTGTGCTTGCCAGGGAAGCGCTTATTCCACTGAGCCATCTCCCCAGCCCCATGTATTCTATTTCATCTGATTTTATTCCCTCTAGGAGGAAAAGGCTTTGGATGTGAATCCTACTCTTTTCCCTCTCATCAGATTCAGTTTTTTTTGTTCCCCCCAAACAACCTGGCTTTGGAAGCTCAAAAGACAGACCAAGAAGCTGTATTGTTTTGGTCTTTTTGCTAGTTGAAGCCAGCCCTTTGTCTCAAGCAAACCTGTGTTTGGCCCTAGGTCTATTTCTGTTTCACTTTTAAAAGTGCCTGTAATTACTGGGCTCTTGAGGTTTTATTGGATCATGTGCTGGAAGAAAGGCTCAGGGGCTCCACTTTCCCTGGCTGTGGGCTGTGGTGCCACCCAGAGCCCTGGCCGCTCGCCTTTTGCTGTGTTAAAGGTGCAACACGACTGTCTGTGTGTGAGAACACAGACGTGGCTTTGGGAATCAGATCCCCAGCAGGTGATTGGAGAAAACAGGCAAGTGAAAATCCCGGAAAAGAGATCTGCCCAAGCTGCAAGAAGAACCTGTTCCATCCCAGAAAGCTCTCCAGAGAGAGGCTGGAGGGGAAAGAAAGCCCTGGGGCCAGGGGAGGGAGTTTGCTTCCGAATGGCATCCACAAAGTGGTGCAGAATTTGAAAATCAAGCCATGGCAGGAGAAGCTTGGTCTCCCTTTGGTGCCAGCCACCGAGGGCCTGGCAGTCATCTGGCTCCATCCCTGCCTGCAGCCGGGTGAGTTTCCATGTGCACCTTCTGCCTTTGAACTGTGCGTGTCAGTACCGTGCTGGCCACAGCAGGGCTGTGCTATCTGCCACCATGCTGGGTGTCAGTGAATGTGCTCTCTCCGAGGTACTTGCCATGTCCCCCATGACTTACTCCAGCCCTTCGATTGCTGGCAGAGAACCACTTGCAGTCTCAGACCAGCAAACCCAGGGCGGTAGCTAGCAGGGGCCCTAGACTAGCTTTGGCCTGAACATTAAATGACTGGGCAGCTTGAGTTTTATCTGGATTGGGCTTGGGCTTGGAGTAGGATTTGCTTTCCGGCAAGTTCTGAACTGTGATTGTTTGCTGTGGGAGGATGCTTAGAATTTATGAGTCTTCAACCCAGGCTTGATGGGGGATTCTGTGAATTTTGCCAGGGTGTTAGCCTCTCATGTTGCTGCACTTGGATAGGGGTTGCATTTGGAGTTCAGGGTATGCAGACGTTTGTAGATTTAAATCATGTTGTGCTTTGGCTGCTTTCCGTTCTCTCAAAGCCTTTTTTATTTTTTATTTTTTTATACAGGGTCCTACTGTGTAGTTCATGTTGCCCTTGCACTCACTATGTAGTCCAGGTTAACCTTGAATTTCCAGTGATCCTCCTGCCTCAGCCTCCCAAGTGATGGGATATTAGGTGTGCACCACCACATATGGGTTTTTCAGAGTCATATTGAGTTACTTCATTGTTTTCTTGTAAGGCTGTGCATCTGTGACTCTCATATCCTTTGCCTTTGGATTGAATTTCTAATTGAAATGTCAGATAATTGTATATGGAGATGCTAGGATTAGTTTAGGGGCTCTCTAAGTGCCACTTGCTTGACTGGAGGGATTTTTTTCCAAGGTACTTTTAACCAAAAAAAAAAATTGGTGCAAATTGCCATCAAACTTCAGGTATTCAATACAGTTTGACAGCTGGTACCTTTTTAGAGGAAGACGGTACCACGAAGTGACATCCCCAGCCCCAGGTGGAACACTTCTTAGGTGCTGCCAAGCAAAGTGCAAGTCTAAACAATTGTTTTCCCTTTTATCGCCTCAAACGCACAATAAATCCTTAGAGCACCCTGCCGCGGCCATGTCATTGCAAGAAATTGAGTTTCAGAGGCACAGCTTCACATCTCTGCATTTTGGGGGCCTGACTAAGGAGAAACATCTTTTTGGGGCTTTTCCTTTGCCTAAATAAGCCCGGGCTGGGTGTGGTGGTACACACTAGTCATCCCAGCACTGGGGAGGCTGAGGCAGGATGATCACTGTGAGTTTGAGACCACTCTGGCCTACTTGGTAAATTCAAGGCCAGCCTAAACTGCATAGTGAGATCCTGTTTCAAAAAACCCAAACCGAACAGCTTAGTACACTCCCAGAACCTGCTAACTGGAAGGCTATATTTTCTGGGTGCTAGTGTAACTGTTTCTTTCCAGCACTTGAGGTCTAACCCAAGTGGCTATAAACCAGGAGCCTGGAGTTGGAGGCACAGTCCAGCGCCACCTGCACCTTGAGAGGGGCTGGTAATGGGTTTCTGGGCTGCCCACCCAGCGAGGAGGGCTCCAAGCTCACGGTTGCCAGGACCCTGAAGGAGGAAGAAGGCTCTGGGGTGCATGGTCCCCCACTTCTCGAGTTTTGTTCCTGTGCACTTTACCTGCAAGAGCTTTCTCAACATTCCCCGCCTTATGTCAAGATGTGCAGTGAATCATATAAGCTATATCTATTATAACATACAGTTCTGCCTGGTGTGCTGGCGCACTCAGGTAATCTTAGCAACAGTTAGGAGGCTGCTGCAGGAAGGTTACCACAAGTTCAAGGTCAGCCTGGGCTACAGAGTGGTATCCTGCCACAAACAAATAAATAAAAATAAAAATAGGTCAAAGAGTCACTTGTGTAACCACTACCGTAATTCAGGGTTTTTTTTTGTTTTTGTTGTTGTTTTTGCTTTTCTGTTTTTGTTTTTACTACAGGGGATTGAACCCAGTGCCTTTGCACTGACTTACTTCCTTAGCCATTTATTTCTTACTTAGAGATAGTCCCACTAGTTTGCTCGGGTGTCCTGGGCTCTAACTTGTGAACCTCCTACCTTTGCCTCCCAAACAGGGTGACAGGTATGCCCAGTGACACTGGCTCACAGTTCAGCCTGTATGGAGCCTCATCACCATGTATGTCACCCTTGACTGTGACCAACCCTTAGTCTGCAGTGGCCTGACTCCCCCCCACCCCCCCAAACCGGGGATTGAACTCAGGCCCTTGCGCCTGTGAGTCAAGCGCTTACTCTACTGAGCCATGCAGTGGCCTTTTCTTTCCCAGCCCTTTCCTGTGCTGGTTGAAAGCAGGGCCTGCCAGCCAGATCGGGATCTGGCCGTGCTCAGCACCGCATGTCTGTGGTCTCCCAGGCTGCACCCAACACAGCATTGGCACCTGCTGTGTACCCGGCCGTGGGCCGTGGGCCTGGGCTGGCCAGGGCTGTTCTTCTGCTGTCTGTCTCAGAGCCTGCAGAGTTAGAATTTGAATGGAGAGTAGTGCAGGGCTGGGGAGCTGGGACCCTGTCACCTCTTTTACCTGCTCTCGGGGGTCCTGCAAGGCCAATGGCACTGAGCTTGTGCAGTGTGCAGGGTGATGGTGTATGCCACCACACATGGTCTGCTGTCACTTTTT